TTGCAGCAGAGTGAAATCCGGTTTGTAGGTGTCAAAGCTGAAGAGAACGCAGAAGCTTTGATGTTCTGTTTCATGTTTCAGACCTGCCTCGGTGTTACCTCACAACTAAGCGCCCACTGCAGAAATTTAACCATCGCACAAAGGCAAAGAGGACAGACAGAAGGAAGAGGGAGAACGGGAGAGTGAGGCAGACAAAGTGATATGTTCCTCTCGTCCTTAGAGAAACAGACACCTGCAGGTTTGATCAGACTTTGCCTTCAATATCCTCTCTTATCCTTTGATGATCCATCACATCGTCTCTTTCTATTCTCTCAGTCTCATTTTCGCACACACACACGTATACTTCACATCCTCATTTTTTGGATGGATCTTTGTTTCTCTCTTTCATCTCCTTCTCTTACCTCACCTCCCCCCCAACATTTCCTGCTTCTCTCCCTCCTTCCTTGTTCCAATTTCTGTTTTTCTCGCCACCTTTAAATTTTCACTTAGCTTGTGCTTCGTTGGGCTCCACTTTTTAATTATCATCTCTGCTTTAGTCACCAAGGTGCAGCTTTACTTTCAGGTAGTTGGTTTATGTAGTTTTGGCAAACTGATCAAGAATTGTCTTGGCTTGAAACAGAGTCTTTTCCTGTTCTTTTGGAACAGATGATAAATATTGCAAACACTGATACAATTAGGCAGCACATCAATAGGCTGTTCTTATCCTGGTAATATTTTTGCTGTACAAAGGAAAGTAATAATGAGGTTAAAGGGGACCGTCCATGGCTCACACAGCAGTAAATAGCTGAAACTGAACTTACACAGACAGACTGAGGGGGGAACAGGGGGGGCTGAATCTTCACAAATTGACTTTTCTTAAAATTAAAAAATGTATACACTCACACGCCTGAGTAAGAATCATGTATGAAAGGTAACATGGACAACAAGATTTGTTTTTTCACCTGTTGTGTTCTCCCTGTCCTGTCTGCTGATCGATGTCAGCTGTGTCTTCCAGGTGTTTTCCCTTTGCTCTACTTTCCTCTTGTATTTAATGTCTGTGTCTGCTCCTGCTCGTCGTCGTGTCGTACCCTCATTCTGGCCTGTGTAGTTGAGTTTCATGCCCTCATCGTTCTGTTCCGTTTGCTACAATAAAGCAGTGGACTTTGAGTTTAAATTCCACCTCCACGAGTCTGCATTTTGGGTCCTGTTTCCTGCCTGCCCGCACACAGCCATGACAGAAACAAGCCACCCTTAAGCTGCAAAAACAGAAAAAAAGCAGAGAAAGTGCTACAATATTAGGAGTGACAAAATCTACAGTTTGGTACATCCTGAGAAAGAAAGAAAGAAAGCACTGGTGAATTCAGCAATGGTGGGTGATCGCAGAATGATTTCCATGGTTTAAGAGAAACCCCTTCAGAACAGCCAACAAAGTGAACAACACTCTTCAGGAGGTAGGTCTATCAATATCCAAGTGTACCATAAAGAGAAAATACAGGGAGTTTTCTGCAAGGCAGAACCCACACAAAAACCTCAAGAATAGAAAAGCTAGATTGGACTTTGCTAAAAAGCCAACACAGTTCTGGAAAAACATTCTTTGAACAGATGAAACCAAAATCAACCTCTCTGTTTACGCAGATATATTTTAAGATACTTAACGGTCAGAGAGACTGGCCTCAGAAAATGAAACACAAACAGTTCATTAGGAGAAATAAACAGATGATTTGTATCCAATATTTAAAAACAAAAAAACAACCACCGTAAACTTAAAGTGATAATTGCCAATAATAACCATGAGTGTCCAGAGGCAGCCAATGGGAATGATCAAACATGTTTTTTGGCACAAATAGTTTGCTTGTCATAGCCTGCTCTCACTGTCATTGTCCATCTGGCTTCTCTGTTTTCTGTCATCTGACTATTCACACTTTGCCTCTCATTCTCAAACAATTCGTGCTGCTTTACCCCGTGTGTGTCCTGCAGTGGAAACAATGTACCATAGTAGATTATTCTGGTGCCATGATGAATGGTAAGAACCTGTGTCTGTTGACTGTGGCCTTGAGATAAAGAGTAGGCAAATGAAACTGTCTGCTTGGCTTGCTGCACCCCAGAGTCCACTGTCACCATTCCTCATGCTAATTTGATTGAGAACGCTCTATCAGCACATACTCCTCGACCCACACACCTTTGCTCAAGGGACGTGTAGGTGGTGGAGCGGGGTGGGGGGGGTACAGGATGCCATCAAGCCACATAGTAATAACAAATTTATCTCCAGGATGCCTGTCTCAGCGTATAATGTTCAAGTTAGGCCCACCGTGGGTAGTTTACATCAAAGTGAAATGTGGCGCTGCAGACGAGGGCAGGACAGAGCCAAAGACGAAATGGTAAAGAGAAAAAATCAGATGTTTAAACATGTGAGATGGGGTAAGAAGCGAAGGTGAGACCTTTAGCATGATTAAAAATAAAGAATTACAGAATAAAAGTACCTAGCAATCTTCATTTGTGTTTCCACATTGCAAATAATGTGGAGCCAGAAGGATATCCCTCTCCTTTCAGCAGTAAAACGAAACCAGGATTGATGAGAGTGTATATAATGCGCAAGTGACTGGCTGTATATGGGCTTGCTAGGAGCAAAGCGTCGACATAGTGAAGTGGAAGAAGGATGGCTGGATTGAGAGAGAAAGAATGTGGCGCCGGGTGGAGAGAAAGATACAAATGAAGGTCTAGATCGAGATAAAGATTTGAGAGAATAGTTCAACTCCAAAGGAGGGCATTGTGTGCAAAACCCGGGGTGAGCTGTAGCAATTGCCAGGGGAGATAAATTGGGACAGAGCTGCTCTTTTATGGCCATTTTTTCAGTCTCCTTGGTAGCTATTGTATGGGTTTCATTCATTAGACCGTATGCAATGAAAAACATTCAGGGAGAGAAATATCACCAGTCAGCAGCCAGTGTACAGCTCTGCGTTTTCCTCTGGGGCAATATTTCACATAGCTTGACCTTCTCAAGTAAACAAACCACATGTTAATCATGGAGAAAAACAATTACAATTAATTTCCTCTTTTGTTTGCCTACTTGTCACGGTGTCATTCAACCTTTACCACATCATGGATTTGGTTACCAGGGAACGTTATGTGCTGTAAAATACTGTAAGGCTGCTTGGGTGGACAGAAACAATGTCTGGAAGCGGTTTCTTCAGTATCTTCACTTGTAATGAATAAAATATGACTGTAGTTGCTATTGTTGCTAAATATATTCTGCGTTTTCTTCTGAGGTGAAACTAAGTCTTCCTTTCCCCCGCAAGGGGATCGTTAAATCTCTATACAGTACATTTACAATGCAGATCCTACAACATTTGGGTTACACCATAGAGTACTACACAACATGTACAATGTTGTTAAGTATAAAAAGCTGTTGAAAATGAATTTCAGCTATTTCACACTCTTTACAGTCAGCTGTATTTACCGATTATTTACAGAACAGCTCACGAGAAACACCGAAAGCAACAGAAAAGATTGCTTTGGCACAAACACACACACAAAAAAGAAAACAGAAGAAGAAAAATAGCTGAGTATCAGTTTTCCATGGTTGTCAGCTCTGGGATTAATAGCAGCCATTTCGCCATAATGAGCTGTTAAGCGTTAGCTGCCAAAAGCCTCTTCGTTTGCCTTTGAGTCTCAGAATACTTTGTCTAATTATAACAGCGCTCTCTGTCCCTTTTCTTCCTGTCACTGTCAGCACTGCTGTACCTGTGTAACGCCTGCCTGATTTTAGCTCTTGTTAGGCGATATAATCAGCTCCAGAAACTACGATCTGGAGATGAGGTTCATAATGATGTTGCACCATCATTATTAAATGTGTCACATGTGAGTGCTACACCCGGAGCATCCACGTCTATGTTAAAGACTGTGGTTTGTGTGGCAGCTCGAACTTCAAACACGAACGCAATAAAATGTTAAACTGAACAAAGGTTGTTCCTTAGTTGTTTTTCACGCTACCCGGGAGATTTGTACTGCACTACAACACAGAGAGCTTTTTTTCCCCGCAAAAACTTACAGTGAGTACTCAGTAACCAGATTTTCAAGTGAATGCAGATGCTGCAGTCAGTTATTGCTAAAGGGCACGTGCTAGACACCTTGAGGGTATTAAAATCTTTGTAAATATATAATAAACTAATTAATATTAAATCCTGCAGTGGCTGGGATTAAAGCAAATGTATGATAGCGGAATAGAAATAGCTATAATTAAATTTAACTAACACTGGAGCTGAGATGCTGTTTACTACAATGCAAATTCAGTGAAGTAAACCCCGCTTAAATTCTAGGTGAGTGTTCTAGTGAAAATGACAGAGCATTGTTTTGCTTCTGAAATAAATATTGTCATCATGAAACGCTGAGGAGAGATATATTCATATGTTTCAATATTTAAGAGCAACCTTTTGTTGAGGTTAATGGGGCATTTCAGCTTATGGGAAAAAATTGCCTCAGCAGAAGCCACGAAAAGATCCCTGACAGGAAGACCGAAGAGGCTGTGAGAGAATAAAAATAAACCTATTTTCGTAAGCTTGAATACCTTGGTCTATGCGTTTGTGAATTTAAATTCCTCAATCCTGGCCAGAAGTTTTCTGTTGAGTTAGAAAGAAAGGAAACTCTTTGATTTTTTTTATTTTTGGGGGCCATGTAAAGTAATTCTGCACAACGGCAAGAAAAGAATTGTTCTCTTTAAAAAGAAAGCCATTTGTTTTACACTGCTAACTGTGATAAATGGAATTCAGTCTCCATGACAAACAGTGAGTACAGAGAACTGGTGGATCATCTGTTTTTGTCTTGGGGTGTGAAGTTGCCACAGTTGCCTGCACACAGCACTGAAGCATCATCGTCAAAGTCTTCTCTATTTGTGTGTGTGTGTGTGTGAGAAACACTCTGTGTACTATGTGTGTATATAAACATGCTGCATTCTATTAAAATGTGTGCACTTTGCTGTACAACAGATATTAATGTGTTTGTTATTTTGCATTTGCATTTCCTACCAGCATACGGCACCGGGGCATCCTTGTCTAGAGCTACCAGCGGAGGGTCCAGCAGCACTGTGTCCATGTTCTCTGTGATCACTCCATGATAAGAGGCTTCTATCCATGGCTTGTGCTTGTTGACTGCGAAAAGAGGAGGAAGGATGACATAAATGATACTGTCTTAGTTTGTATAGCTGTACTTGAGAAATTCAATGCACATTTTGTTCACAGTATTACTGCAAAGACATAGTGTAGCCATTTATACATTGCCCTAACAAGTAAAAGATCCCTGGATCCCAAGAGGAAATTCAAACCCCATTGGGAGTACATCAGGGAAAGCAAAAAACAAAAACAAATACAGAGCTGCCTGCTATAGTGATGCCTTGTGAATAAGGGAGCAGCAGAAAGTAACAGCATTACTGCAAAGACTGGTACTTTCATTAGTACAATGCTATGTTCATTCTGCAGTTTATGACCATGTTTATCATAATGCAGTGAGTCACCTCAACAGACAGACTCAGAATGAGAGACGCAAAAGGATATAACCCTCCACCGGAGTGTTGCTTTTTCACAGGTGGCAAAAAGGAGCAATACAAGTCAAGAGGCGAACAGTGTGGAAAGAAAATGTTGTTTGTTGGATGGAATTTGTGATTCTTTGATAAAGCATTGCAGCAAAGCTGTAAACTACACTTTGACTTCCAGTACTGTGCTGTGCAAAAGTTGTGAGGTCCCCCTTTTTTATTTTCCAGCCACACTTTCTTGTAATTCTTAAAGTTGTCTTAAGTAAAAGTTCTACAGAATTTCAGAAGATCCTTTCAGGTTTTTCTCTGCACATTGGCAACTTTTTCACTCATTTTCAGACCCAAACCCCCAACCCTTTACAGAGGAATTTGTTGTTTTGTTTTGTTTTAATTTTATTTGTCACATACACAGTCAAACACAGTACGATATGCAGTGAAATTGCTTATTGCTTTTAAAGGAAAAATAACCTAACTAAAGGGATGAACCAGTGTGGTGTCTACGCCTAATAGATAATTTAGCAAAAAGAAAAAAAATATCTTTAGGAACTGTTACTGGCAGCTTGTTGCAAAAAAACATCATTTGTTTGCATTTCATTAGCTGAATTTACAAAAAAGTGCAAACATAACACAAATTGAGAGGCATAAAATTGTATTTTCATACTAACAAGGTGATTCCCAAAGTTAGCTTTGCCAAAAGCTTAGCATAGCTTAGCACTGTGTGCATCATGTCTTTTAAAAATTGAAGGAAACTGAGTAAGTGGAAGACAAAAGAAGCGGCAGACTAAAAAAAAAGCAGATGAATACCATCTTAAAGTCATGTCCTTAAGAAACTGTGAAAAAATCCAGCAAAGACCTGACATAGAACATGAGAGATGCATCTGGCCCTTCAGTTGATCCACCTATTATCAGCCAAAGCCTCATCAGAAATGGTCGAGGTGGAAGGCTGACTGTCAAGAAGCCATTCTTAAAGAAGCAAAATAGTGAGAAAAAGCTGAGGTACGCCAAATTTCAAAAGAACTGGACTGGCAATGGCTTTATTTTTCAGCATGATGCTGATCGCAAACATACTGCCCAGACAATATAAATATACCCCGATAGAAGAAACACAATGAAACACTATCAATCATGTGCTGGCCTTCACAGAGCCCAACAACAACACTACTGAATCAATGTGGGATCATCTTGATAGAAAACGGAATAAAAGGCAGCCAACGTCCTTCATCAAGTCTGGAGAACTATTAATGGAGACTACTTAAAGACATTACAGGAAAGCTGGCCCAAGAAAGTTCTGAAGGATAACAATATTTGGACATATTGATTTTCAAGCTTCTTACAATTGTCTGTTTCCCTGTTTCTTACTCTGTGCATCTCTATTTATTACTATACAATTTCTAGTATAACCACCATGCTGCAAATCACAGGTTAGCACAGATCACCATCACACATGTAGGAATTACTGAGTCTTTAAATTGAACATTCTTCTGCTTCATTGCAGCAGGACCTCACAAATACACAGACACCAGCGTGGCACAAGAAAAACCATATGCGCTTGGCCACTTTTGTGTATCCACACACATACTGCATCTCTGGTGCACAAGTGTGAGTCCCTGCAGGGAGCTGGGATGTCAACCCGACCTTTCAATCCATTGAAGAGGAACACTTTGTCTCATGCCAATGAGTAGATGACATGTCCAGCTGGCAGTGATTTAAAATGCATCAAACTCTTCCTAAAGCTTTTTCGCCGCTTTTCATCTGTTTGAACAAATCTTAGTTGTTTTGTCCTACTATCCCATTTTCTCCCCTGCTTGTCACTGAATTGAGAGGACAGGGTCAAAAACTAGAAAATAGGTCTGAGCAAAAGAAACACAAATTTAAAGCAACACATTTGATGTGAAGGAGAAAAAACCCAGAGACAAAAACATTTTAAGCTTGTGACAAAAGAGTGGCTTATATAAAAGCCTCTGGAACAAGTTTACGGTGCTTTCGAAGCTTTATTATTAGATTTATAACATAAAAGCAAGACCTAAGAATCTTCATCTATGTGTGTAATACATGACCTTTTGTGTTAACTCTTTGTCACATTTGTCTTATAATCTTTCATTGTGCTGCCAAGGATCTAATGTTTCTAGATGGCACTCCTACCATGCTGAGAGAGAGTACAGAGTGGATCATAAGCAGTGAAAAATAACCACAAGGGATGACATTATTCATGGAAGAAGTGTCATCTTATGCTCATGCAGTAGATAGAAAGCACTGCAGCACACAGCATGACTCTGCTCTGCTGGAATGCGAAAAGAGAGAAGTGGAGGTCTGTTTTCAAGTGGTATTTAGGTATCTTTACTTCAGGAACATTTTACTTGTAAAGCTAGATCCAATGGTGCATTAACCAGGACATTAAAACACATATACTTTTATGTCCTAATGCAGGTACAGCCTGATCCTTATATTTTTTAGATTTCCTTGCTTTTTAGATTTTACACACTCTTCTGTGTAAAATTACCATAAAAAAGTAGAGATGAAATGAACTGAAACAATGTTACAGAGAGGCTCTCGAAAGTCATGATAATATTAAAGTGAAGTGCTGAGGTGACTATAAAAATGAGCAGTACCAAAGTGATTCTTCATTCCTGTGTGCCTGCACTAACCATGCATAAATACATATTAATCCATCATGCTCACACAGCATTTCATTTACATTTGAAGATGTCTTCAGTAAGTCTAATAGCAGCCCACAGCCAGTTCAGTTTACTCATGGATGGCAAGTTCAATTTCTAGCTCAAGGTCTTACATTTATCCCAAACAAATTGGGTGTTGGTTGACGCAGCAGAGCTGGGAGTTTTTAAAGGCAGTCTGATATTGGAGCTATATATTAGCAAAATAGCACACATCAGACCATGGAAATGGGCTATTACCAATACTGGCTTTCATGACATGAAGTACTGTAAAGCCATTAGTGATGCGTTTAAAGTATTCGTCCTTGACATCGTTGTACTGAGCCACAGTAATGAAACAAAAATTGCATTCAAAGAGAAAAGAAAAGAGTCTGGAACAACTTTCGAGAGAAGATCAGCTAAACTACAGCAGCAGTTTTCTGTAAGACAATTTCTCAAAGCTGAAAGCAATAAAGACCTGTCTATGCTCTCCATTTATGTGTGTTCTTCCAATGTCAATTTCATCACTGATCCAAGTACCTGTTGCATGTTTGTACAGACTGTATGCTCAGGAAAAACACAGGAAAAGCACGGGAAAATAAAGATTGTACATTAACACAAGTGGTGTTTCCTTTTTGCTTGATGAGCTGCTATAAACAAACATTGGCTCAGATTCTTGCTGTCATGTAGTCACAGTTTTTCATCCGTAAAAACGTGTCGACGTATCATTAACTGTGTGCATGTGAATCTGCAGTCCAGACTAGCACACACACACATATACAAAGGAAATTATAAACTGAGCTAAAAGGGCTCACTTCTAAGTCAGAAAACAGGGACAGATTGCTGTTTTGATTATAATACTCAGTAGTTGATTTTGGAGGACATGTACGTACATGCTGGGTTTTTTTCCCCAATGTTTGAGCAATTTCTCCACAGATTTAAGCAAATATTATTGTTGTCATATTCTAGAGTCACCACCTACTTCCTGATCAAGTTTACAGTATGTCAATATATCTAATTATCTAATATATCACATGGCAGCAGTTCGGTGCATTTAAGTATGTAGGCATGGTCGAGACGACCTGCTGAAGTGCAGACAGGAAGAAAGGTGACTTTGAACATGGTGTGGTTGAGGGTGCCAGATGGGCTGGTCTGAGTTTTTCACAAACTGCTGATCTACTGGGATTTTCCCCACACATCCATCTCTGGGGTTTACATGTGTTGAAAAAAGAGAAAGAATAAAGTGAACAGCAGTTCTCTGGGTCAAAATTCCTTGTTGATGCCAGAGGTCAGAGGAGAATAGCCAGGCTGCTTTGAACTAACAGGGAGGCAACAGTAACTAAAACAACCACTTATTACAACAAAAGCATGCAGAAGAGCATCTTTGAATGTTCACACATGCAACCTTGACGCATGAGCTATAGCAGCAGAAGACCACACGTGGTGCCACTCCTGTCAGCTAAGAAGAGGAAATTGGGGCTATAGTTCTCACAGGCTCACTAATATTGGACAATAAAAGATTGAAAAAGTGTTGCCTGGTCTGACGAGTCTTGATTTCTGCTCTGATATTCAGGGTTAAAATGAACATGAAAACATCCTGGCTCGTATCTATAGGTCAGGCTGCTGGTAGTGTAATAATATGGGGGATATTTTCTTGGCACACTTCGGGCCTCTTAGTACCAACTGAGCATTGTTTAAATACCACAGCCTACCTGAGTATTGCTGCACTATGTCTATCCCTTAATCACCACAGAGTACCTATCTTCTGATGACTGCTTCCAGCAGGATAACACAGAGCTAAATATCAAACGACTGGCATGAAAAATCAAGACAGTTAGTTGTCGAGCTCCTTAAAATGGTATGTTACGGCACAGAGAAAAAGTCAGTAGTTCACCAAAGTCAGTTGGATTCATGCTTTGCATGTCTAAAATTAAGTTAAAATCATTGTAATAGGCCTGGAGCCCAGACA